TTACAAAAGCACAAAATTTACATTGATCTTGAAAAAGTAAGGAAGAAAGAGGAAGAAAAAAAAGAGGGTTCTTCAAGTTTTCAAGATCTTCATATCAGTCAAGTTTTCTTCTTTCTAACTAATTGCAATTCAAAGTTTTGACTATTCTTTAATGTGGTTTTACGAATTTCATGGTTTTACCAGTTAAAAGAAATATTCATATCCAAGGCTTCACATAGTAAAACGAGTATGGTCCTATGAGTTATGGTAATTCTTGTCTGTTGAAACTATGAATTTTATTGCAAGCCATTTCATTCACACTTTTAATTTCAACATCTCAGGTAACTAAAAAGTAGGACGTGGTGTTTGAAAGAAGAGACTGGTGAAGTCTTGGCGGAAAAGCAACAAAAAACTATGAGCACTAGATTTATTTTATGCAAGATTCATTTTCTTTAATTCAAGAACCTTTGAAATTTTTCATTAGTGGAGTTTTGACTGAACGATGAGTATGAAGTTGTAATGTCATGGATATGATATGGTTTTGGGTAATAATTTGGTTAGGTTTTGATTTTTGTATTGTTCTATCATTTTATGTCAAATACATGTTAGCAAGCATGTAGTTTTCATCTCATAATGTTTTCAAGTTTATGCTTATGAAGAAGTTTACTTTTAATATGATAGAATTGGTTTTTTTGCTACCAGTGTTATTCTATGTATTTTGCATTTTAGTTGAACCACCTTTTTGGTATTTTCTTAACAACCCTTTCCCATTACTGACTCGTTCCATTTGTACAGAAAATAGAATCATAAAATTCCACTAGAAATCTCACGTGTGAGCCCCATGTGATGATAAAAAAATATCAAAAAATCTCCCACCTAACCTCTATTGTGAGTTATCTGTAGTAATCTGTTAAATAATTTTCTGTACACATAGCAAGGCATCTTGCCTATGTATTTTTAGAAAGCCAAAGCAAGAATTTCGTTAATGAATATGAATTTTGCTCCTGTAATGGGGAGGCTGATTGCCTCCTTGACAGAGCCCCACAAATGGGGGGTGGGGCTTGCAAAAAAACATGGGACCTTCTCCTCCTATTTGTGGGGTTCGGTCAGGGGGGGCGATCAACCCCCTTATTGTTATAGCACGGCTCTAATGAATATTGCTGCAAATAAGAGTACAGAATACTATCAAATCGATCGAAATTGACTTGGGACAACAATTCAACTGAAGTTAAGTGATGGGTT